CCTGTTATCACTTTTAACTGGTTCCTATTCATTAAGAGTAGTTTCTCCAGTTCTTTTGGGACATGGTCTGCCTATGAAGGCTTTTGCATGTGCCTATTTTGGGGTGCTTCCCCAATAGTTGATATGTTGTTCCCGAATCCAGTCATTTATAAAACCCCGGACTGTACTTTTTGGTACTCCTGGGTTTGTGTCTAGTTCCGGTGTTTCTTCTGACCCTCTTTTTGCAAGTTCGTCAGCCTTTTCGTTTCCTTCGATCCCTTTGTGACCTGGCACCCAAAATAGTTTTACTCTATTTCGGTCTGCCAGTGTGCTTAGTTCTTCGATGCATTCCCATACCAGCCTCGACGTAATTTTCTGACTCGATATGGCCTTAAGTGCCGCTTGACTGTCTGACATTATTTGAATATGCTGATTTTCGACACCTCTTTCATTGTTCGTTTTTGAACATTGCAAAATTGCGTGTACGTCGGCCTGAAATACCGAGGAATGTATTCCTGTAGCATAGCTATGGTTAGTATTAGGGTTTTTGGAGTGTACTCCTGCCCCAGTGCCTTCCGCAGTCTCAGACCCGTCTGTATACCAGGTTTGTTCCTGTCGTTGGGCATTGGGCTCCCTTATGGTGATCTCCGCTCTTTTCTGTATTAAAACCTCAAAGGGAGTATTAAAAGAGTACCTCTTGGTTAAGTTGTCTGATCTCATGTCTAGCACGTCTCCTGTCACTAACCTTGAGATACTTATGTGACCTGGCCTAATGTCAAGATTTCCCAGTGTATTCCCTAATCTGTAAGCACCTAATCTTGCCTCCCCTTGTATCACATAGTGAACAGGTGGGAGTCCTAGTGCTTCCATTGCAGCAGTGGGGGTTGTTTTCATTGCCCCCGTTATTCCGAGGCAGGCAAGTCTTTGTACCTTGCTTAGCCTCGTTATTGCTTTCCTTTGCTGTGTCTTTGGCCACCACACCAAAGCTGCGTATGTTATTATGGGTCTCACCACCATGTTATAAAGCCAGTACACCATGTCTGGTTTTTACCCCAATTTTTTTCCAAAGGACTCCTTGCCATCATTAAACTTAGTTTTAAAAAGTGTTTCAGGATTATACTTTAAATCAAATTGACCACAGAACCTTTTAGGTACAGTTTCTGCAATTTTACAACATAACTCTTATAGTTTATTCAGTCTAGTAAACCATAGGGCTCTTTTAAAACTACATAGTTTTAATAAGAAATAAAGTTTGTTTTAGAGTATAACCTAGCTTTTTAACCCAATCACATTATGTTGACGTTGAAAGATAAATTGTTCAAAATAAAGAAAAGTGGTAATTTCCATAGAGAATGAAAAAAAAAATGTATGTTTCTCCTTCTCCTCAGTGTTTAATAAGTTCATTGTTTTTCATTCAAATATCAAAACATTCCTAGGCTCTTAATATTCTGGAAATGATCAGTGAAAGAGAAAAATGGTTAATATATTATTACTAATTTTTATATTTTGAATGACTTGTTCGTAGAGTAAATAAGAAGCTCAAGAGCGAGGTTAGGTTATGCCCGCCTGATTGAACTTATGAATGTTTTAGTGAGGTTTTCGTTTTTACTATTGTTTAATGAAACTCTTTAAAAAGTGTAGCAAGAGTTTTTAAAACTGGAAAGTCCTAAAAAGTATTTTTTTGCTTTATTAGTTTTATAAGCTAATGTCCGTTTTTTTGGTACAGATACAACACAATGAGGAAATTCTCCATTTTAAATATGGTAGTGGCTGTTTAACCACATATCATGCAAAATATTACCTGTCTACTAGCTTCTCTATGCCACCAACTGTCTACGTGAATTGGCGGCATATTAATATCTTTTTATTATTAATATTGGGAAAAAAGTAATTTTTTATAAAAAGTCGAGCATGGTCTAAAACATAAAATACAACCATCAGATATCAAATTTTATCAGTCGTATAAAGAATAAAGGTACTTTACTCTGGAGTACAACTCATATTTTTTGACAAACCTCATATACCACTAAAAAATTTGATATTTGATAACTGTATTCTAGGTTTTAGATAATGCAGAACTTTTTATGAAGAATAACTTTTTTCCTAAAATTAATATTAAAAAAGTTTTCCATATGATTCCAACCTAGAGAGACATACTGTATATATGTATATTTAACAAAATTTTATAAAAACAACATTAAAAACAATAACATATAGTTAACTAATTAATATTAAAACACTATACTATTAAACCTCACGTCACTGCACATATTCATACAAAGAGAAACCACAAAGCAGTGGCCACACGAGACTATCAACAAGTAAGGATAATATTATAGAAATACCTAGTGATATAACCACAACCACATACAAATTTGGAAAAACAACCTTTTAAATTCAAGTACCAACCCGAGAATCCTGGAAACAGGGACCTCTGATACAGACTGAACTATACAACCAAGTCGAAAACAACGGTTTCGCTGAGTCTAAAAGAATATTTAACAGTGTTCCAGGTGGAACTTATAGCAATACAACCCTGTGCAAGACAAATATTAAATTAATAAGTGTCAGGCAAATCTCTTACCAAAAATAAAATCACGACTGGTCAAAGACTGCCTAGAAGACCTGGCAGAGCTAACAAGATGATACTAGCCTGAGTTGCAGGCCATCAGGGATATTAAGGCAGCGAAAAGGCCTAGGAAGGCTCAGATAAGGTCATTATAATTGATATGACACATGATTATCATAAATGTCAACGTCAACCATAACAACCGATGAAAAAGTTTGGTCACTTTGGTGACAGCTGGTACTAACCGCATTTCAGGAACATTGTCCCGTAAATCTACAATTTTCAGGAATTTGACATTTACGGAACGCGATTTTACTAACCAGGTTAACCAAGGTGATATACGGAACACACGAATGATGCCTCTGGTAAGATGCACTAAACAACTTATGCAGCTCTGAAAATATAATTTTTTTAATATACTGGAAACGCGAATATTATTCAAGTCTAAAAATAGATTACAATGTTGCCACGTTTCGGACACAATAATATACTTCGTTTGTAAAATGTATACTTGAGTATGTATACTATCTTCGCACCCCTACCGGAGAATCGTTAAACTAATAATATACATTTTCATCTATAACACTAATATTATTGCGTCCACAACTAAATTGAAAAACCTGTAAAATCATAAGGAACATACTAGATACGGCCTAGTTTTATGAACGTATGGAAACCTATAAAGTTTTGTCAGCTGTTCGCGCTAAAATTTTGTTTAAAAATTTGCGGGAACCCGATAATACATGGGTTTATATTGTTACGCAGGTTTTTGATATCACAATTTATTTCAACTGAACTTTAACAATGACAATGCAACTGATAACATTAACGTGTAACGTCTATCATAAAACTGAAAACTGACGTCAGGATCATCCTCGTATAGCTTCGAACCTTCTCGAACTGTTATCTAGAATATTCTTGACGGGTAATGACATTTCCAGACATTTCGAGACTATTCCATCTTCTTTTACTTGTACTTTTACTTATAACGACCGCAGCACAGAGTAGGGCGATGAGTAACGTTCCATTTCTTCTTATATCTGTACGTTTCCTATAATAGCCGCAGACTACTACAGTGTGCTGCGTAACAATAATATTGCGTCCGAAATACGGACGCAATAATTCAAAGGACGCAATAATATATGTAATTAGGATGTTGATGGACGCAACAATGATAGAATGATGTATATCTCCTTGTGTCATAAAATAATAGTGAGTAAAAATCCACCCTATCTACATCGTAAAATAACTTATCGTTCTGACGTTCATAACTTAAATATAAGAAACAAAGGATTGTTGACTGTTCCTGCTTTCATCACGGAGTCTTTCAGGCGTTCATATAGTTACCAAATTTGCTATTTATATAACCAAGTTTTACCAGAATTAAAAAATTGTAGTATTTCAAAATTTAAATTAAAAATTAAACAAAATCTCTTAGACGCTCAGTGATAAAGTTAACAATTTTATAATTAGTTTTTTTTTATTTTTATATCAACATATAGCTTGATGCTGCCCATGTTACACTTTGCAGTCCTATCATTGCAGTCCTATCATTTTTTTTATTGAAAATTTATTGCAAATTATACTTATCTAATTATAAAACAAAACCAATATACCTATTACACATTTTTAGGGTTGAGTGGAAGAATATTTTTGATTGTGTCCAATAACATAATCAAAAATAAACTTCGCCCTTTATTTTCAATCTGCTATATTTTGTCATTAATTATGTTAATTGTATTTATTGGAAATAATAAAGACGTTTTTATTATTATTATTATTATTATTATATATGTAGACATTAGGCAATATTTCTATTATTTGTTCCTAAACAATGTTATTTTTAGTTTTGGGTTTCTGTACCCCATTATTTAAGTAAATGCTTTAAAATGGTTGTGAACAAGAATTTATTTAAATTTATTTTTTAATGATTTTATTCTGTTCCATTTTGATATTCTAGTCTACAAATAAATAGGACTTCTAAAGTTCAGTTTTTTGCTTTATTTCAAGTACCTACCTACCTTCAAAAAAAATAAATAAATAAAAAACATTATTCAAAATGCTTTAAGGGGAGCCAAAATCTTTTTTTGCACACAGGCGCCAGTAGCCCTTAGTGGGGCCCTCATCATATCCACTCTTGTTGTACAAACTGTAGTTGAAAAAAATGTAGAAAATGGAATTTAATGATGAAATAGTAAAAAATTGAATCACGAATTAATTCCATTTTGAATCATAGATATTAAGGAAGTGTTTTTGACTTTTCAATTGATACATAAGTAAAATATTCAATTTATTTCACTTCATTGTTGACTAATTTCCAGCTAAAAAATACTAGATTTTAAAATATTTATGGTGAGCAACCTTTTGAATATTTTACCACAGAAATATATTTAAACCGTGCACAATAATATTATTAGTTTATTACTAACATTTACCACAGCAAAAGCTTGTGGAGTTCAAGTTATTTCACTAAAAATAAAGAATCAGATGTTATTAAAATTATTTCCAGTATAAATTGTGTTAGTGATGTTTCGGTGTACAAGTGATTTACTTTTCGGCAATGGGATCATATAAAACTTTTAAATTAAGATATCTCGTAAACGGAAAGCACACTATATCAATGGAGGCCCTGTTTTCATTTATACAGGTGGTGAGCGAGATATAACAATTGCAGCACAAAATATGGGATTTTTGTTCGATATTGCGCCCATTTTCAAAGCACTGCTGGTTTTTTTTGAACACCGTTATTATGGAGAGTCTCTACACTTTGGTAATAGTATTATTTTAACTATATATGTATATTTAGCGTATTCTAAAAAATCCAGGGTATAAAATTATCATTAAATAACGTTCTTGTGATAATAAATGAACTGACTTGGGTCTTTCGCACAGTCTCTCGTCTTCTTTTAAGAATTACAATATTTTATCTAAGATCATTAGTCTGCGATCACAATATAATTTTTGTCATCTGGAGATTTGGGATATTTTAGTAAATGATTTTTTTTTATTGATAAAAATCTATGAACGCATATACATTAGTGAAAATCATAAATTGACAAAATAGATTTGGTAAATCTTTAAAGAACCCTGCAGTGTTCTTATGACAAATGGCCTTCAGTCGAATCTGCTGAAATTAATATAATAGTATATTATTTAACGAGCGGTAGTGCAGGTCATAACCCACGCAGGTGAATTTTGCAGCACGAGCCGCAGGCGAGTGCTGTAATTCATCAAGTGAATTATGACCCTGACCGCAAGTTGAATACTATACTTTCTCTACGACTATAACAATAAATACTAAGATACAAGTATCGAGAAAGAATGTTATAAAAGACTAGATGATAAAAACGTCATTACTTCTGAAATTGATGAAAACATATTTAAGATTAAAAATGCCACATCTAATATGGCTGACAAAATGTTCTAAAATGCTTCCATTTTTTTTGGTCTCTCATGATGAAATCATTAAAGTTTATCGTTAAAATACTGATCAATGAAAATTATTATTATTACACAAAAATATTATACAAAATAAAATAATTATAAAATTAAAACGCGCCTACAGGGCTACGATACAAAATCTGTTATATATAAAGAATTCAAGTAAACATTAATTTCTGGTCGGTGGTGTAGCGGTCTCACGCGCTTATATTCATTTATAGGCAAGTTTGTGGTCAGTTGTTTGTTGTTGATTTTTAATAAAATTGTGGTTAATTTTTTAATAAATTTATTGTTTATTAATTTTTTTTGGACTATAGTATATCCTAATGAATTGACGTAACTCATTTTTTTTGCGAAAATGATGTATAGACATGTACTTGACACATTATTTTTCTAGCACACAAAAAATTAGATTATAGATTGTTACTGTTACTTATTGCCATTTGGTTCAATTTTATAAAAATCTTTAAAACGCTCTCCTGTTAAGTTGTGAAAATCGAGTTACGATGAATTATGTTCAATGGGCGATACATTAGCTTGTCGAAAAAAGTCTCTGGTAACTGCAGCGGTATGTGGTCTGGCATTGTCTTGACCACGTAACAGGTTGTAACACGTTATTAACACTAGAATACGGGACCGTTTTATCAAACGTTTTTACGGGACTCTCGTAAATTTTACACTCAATAAAAAAGAAACCGTTTTTGTTATAGAAAACCTTTTTTTTGTTATAAAATTATATTTTTAGAAAATATACAAGGAATGGTAACTTACTTAAAATGAAGAAACGAATATTTTTGTATTTTTCAGAACATACGATACAAATGTCTCCTCGGTGGTCTCCGCAAATCGGATTTTTGCACTCCTTAAAATAATTGGCGGTCATGTGCCTTTTTTTGCTTGGACAGTAGAAGCAAGTCTTTCTTTTCCTTTGTTGAGGTATATTGATAACGTTTTCATTCAATATACCAAGGATTTCACCTATATCTTGACAAATGTTATATCTATGCATCATCCACGGTTTGGCAAGGCAAAGGCTCAAATCAATCATATATTGGTACCTTGAAACAGGTTTTTGGCCCTTTTTTATTGTATTAAATGTATAAATAACGTAAGAGTTTATGCTGGCCATAATTATCATACCATATAACATACATAGAGACCATCTGTGTGTTTTCCTGCTCGAACTCATAAAGGATTACATTTGGTCGAATGTGTCCACACCTGCTTTGGTCTCGTTATAGTTATGAATTATTGCTGCCTTCCGGTTTCTTTATTTATCTCTGCCCCCTCATGCAATATTGAAAGTAACAAAACTAATTTGTTTTTTTTGGGCATGTAGGATAATAATGTCTTTTTTTGATCAAAACAAAACATTGACGTATTTGGTTTCCGATGTTTTCCATCTAAGAACTCTTTGAATATATCTCTTTTATTTTTGCGTATAGTTCCTATTATGGTCAACTTGTAGGGATCTTGTAGCAACTGATCAGCAAGTGGAACCGATGTGAACCAATTGTCCATGGTAACGTTGCGATTTGTGCCATAAATTGATTTCGTTAACTCTTTGACATAAAAATCAGCTAGAGGCAAGTTATTGGTCTTTGTTTTCTTTCCCAAATAAGGGCAAGCATCTAACATATTCTTGGTTGAGGAATCGCAAACCATAACAATTTTTATTCCATATTTTGCCGGTTTGTTCGGTATGTACATCCTGAAAGGACATCGTCCTTGGAATGCCAATAGCTGCTCATCAATTGTGACGTATGACGATGTTCTACAAGTTTTAATAAAAATATTCCATATTTCTCGAATGTGTATAAAAGGATCATCTGCCTTTCTTTCCTGTCTTGTTTCCTTAGCATTAAACCTAAGACAAGTAAGCAGGAACGAAAAACAATCACAATTGATACACGATCTATAAAACCAGCCGGAAATATTTTTATCAAACATGTGCCTTACTGACAAATGAATATCTTTTTTTGCGGCAGAAAGGATTAAAATACCAAACATGGCTTTCAGTTCGTCTTTTGTCGTTGGGAAAACATTCTGGCGGCTGTTGCATTTTTAAGCCTGCGTGGAGATTTCTGCATTTGTATGTTGGGCAGTAATTTCAATTATATCGTCAGAAAAAAAATATAAAAAATAATCATCCAGGTTAGAACACTCTTTCGCATTCCCCGTAGGACCCGACATAAAATAATTAATATTTCTAGCAGCAGTTCTTTTGGACATTTTAGGCAATTCCGTAGACCATTTGTGACCATTTTTGCCTGTTAGACTTTTTGTACGTACTTGTGATAAAGGAACAGCATCTTCATCTAAAATAGTTTCTATTTCTTCTTCAGATTGAAGTTCTTGTTGGTCGAGAGTATCAGCTGAATTATCTTTATCGTCTTCACTATCGGAGCCACATATGATTCTACTTCTACATTATCCTCTTCCTAATCACTGTCACTAACTTCAAATGGCTCTGGATCACTTTCACCACCTTGGATAATACGTTCCGCTTGTTCCTTCAGTTGTTTTAGGGTCAAATTTTTTTTAGTTGACATCTAAAAAATACTATAAATATACTAAAAAATCTATAGCAAAAAATTAAGTTGAATATAAAAAAATACGCAGACACAGGAGTTTCGTAAATTTTACGAATCTATCGCCGTAAAGTCAGAATGACCGTATAGCACAGTGTCTAGCTTAATACTAAATAGGAAGGTACTCAGTCGGGCGATCCGATACAATAACCAGAAGTGGTGAAAAAAACACGATGTTGTACAAGCTTCGTAAAATTTACGAATGACCCGTGTTCTAGGGTTAATGTAGGACTGAGCGTTTATGTTTCTGTCCAAAATTACTAGTGGTGGCCTGCTTCTAATTGCTAGGGCACCATATTCTATGATGTCTTTGGTACGCGCAGTCTCGTGCTCCATGCAAAATTGAAGTTGAGTGCTTTCTCCTCGTCTTCACCTGACTCTTTTACGAGCATTATGAGCCCACAAGCAGTAACGCGACTGGTCACTGAAAACAACCGTATCCCACTCCTCATTCCAGCCTCCCGTAGACCCCACTATCCTACCTCATTCAAATTCACTTAAATGACGATAGCACGTCTTCTTATGAAAGGAATTACTAAACAATGTTTTAAATACCATAAAAGCAATAAAACAATAGTATATTATTCAAAAGTGTATAATGTTGACCATATTACACAAGTATTGTAAATATTCGAGTGTAGTATGGTCCATTATACACGAATTGAATACTATACTTTATCTACAACTGAATACGGGGGCTCACCGAAAACGAAAAGGGTATTTTTAGAAAAAAATCTTTGAAGTTGTTACAAATAGAATTGACAAGATTGTTCACAATTAAAAGACCTTTCAAATGAGGAGTATTTGAGCCACCGTGTGAAATAAAACGTCAATTTATACAGGAACTCGTTTAAAGTTATTTATTGATGTAAATAATAGTAACATTACAATTTGAAATATTAATAGCTCCGGTAATATCATTGAGATTATTGTGTTTTAAAGAAAAATTGGTGTTGCTATTGATGCGTACAGAATCATGACGATAACTGTCAGTAAATGATGGATTATTAAGACCAACACAATTGTCATTATTGATTTGACTTAAAATTGCTTAAGCTGTTTCTATTTTGTTCTTCTTTGAATTGGCGATGTACCCTTCTGCTGTGGAGGCGGATTTCCAGCCTCCATGACGTTTTAATATTGTCATTAAAGCTCCAGAATCAGCAGCCAATGTAGCAGATGAACGCCTGAGGCAATGGTCAGTATATCTCTCAGGGTTTGGTAATTGTTAAAACGTAGCAATTTGCTTTCCCATTGCGCTAAACTTGTTTATTCCTATCACTTGTTTTGTACACTTTCCTTTTTGGAAATTAAGAAAAAGATCTTGTGGTGCATTTTTGGGCTGGAGGTCTATATATTTTTGAACGATTTTGAAAAAATTATCCACAATTGTGAAATTCCTTGTGACTTTGGTTTTTGTGTGTGGCACGTTTACTTGAAAACATCCCTCAAAACATCTTAAATCCCCAATTTTCATATTGTTTAATTCACAGGATCAGCAAGCACCCATGACCCTCATAATCAAGGCAACTTTAAAAAAAATGTGTAGATTAAGTTAAAGAATTTTGATTTTCGATTCGAGTTTTTACCTTTGGTCCAAGATATTTAATATCTGGGTATTCCTTTATAAACCTCTCAATTTGTTCACCAGTCAGAGCTTCAGATTTCTTAGGTTCGTAATTTTCGGATCGTCTTTTCAACAAAGCACGTAATCTCGGATATTTATCAATGTCGACAT